CTTTTTTTCTTTTTTTCTTTTTTTATAGTAAATACCCTGTATATAAATGATTGCAAATGGAATGTGAAAATTGAATAAAATATTTATTATAACAAAAATGTTTTTGAACATTTTGACTGATTCCACAAATAATATTTTGGTAATTTAGAGAAAAGCTGAAAACTCTTCTCTATAAGAACAATTCTTAACAAAACATAACAAAATGATAAATGTTTAAAGTTACCAAATACTGATTTATTAAACAAGGAAACTGGTGAGATTTCTTTCAATTACTTACTCCACTCTTGGTAGTTCCTCTGACTTGCTGGAGGGGGCAGGAAAGGGCAATATATATACTGTACTTCTAAAGTACAAGGTTATTGACATCCAACTTTTATATTTTCTAGGAATACATATTGAATGCAAAGATGCCCTGAGAAAAATGCTGATGTTAAATATTAGCACTTTGTTTTAAAGCAATTTTAGAACCATCTTTATTGGGGGGGAAAAGATAATGGGTCATGGAACCTAAAAGGTATTTGAAGACACAGTGATGTCTATATGCTCCATACTATCTCTACTATAATACTTTGAACAGCCTAGAGTCAGAGATATGTTTGGGCTACAACTCTCAGAATTCTCAACCAGAAAGCTTACACCATATGCATATTAATTAATATTATCTATTAATATATGCATATTGATCGAGTAGAGTAGATGTATGCTTTTACCCAAGATTGAAAGTAGGAGATAATGTAAGGGTCCTAATATTTCTAAAAAATACTTACGTCGCTCTGTAACTTCAGTTCCATCCCGCTTGTTTTTCTTTGTTATGGAATCCATATCATTGCTACTCACATGTGAAGAAAGAAAGTAAAAAAATTAACAGACATTCAACAGTTTCGTTGCAAGGACAGTACAAACACTTTCTGTGCTAAGTCAAAGAAATGCAATTCACATGTTTCCATAATTACTAACCACTTCATAGGGACTTTTAAAATCAGAACACATGACGGGTCATGAAATAAGATGCAACTTTGTAATGGTATTTTTTAAGGGAGGGAGTTAATATATTTCCTATTAAATATTCACTATAAATATTCAGAAAAGTTGTGGTTCCTTTCTATTAAAACCCTTCACAAAAGTTTCCTTAAGATAGCTTGCATCTTCAAACTCCTAAACTGGTAATTATTCTAGTGAAGTTCCAAGGCCAAGATTTTTGGAGACAGTTAGCAAAACTGGATGCATGCAAAAGAACCATAATCTGGTAAAAGATGCAATAGATTTTGCTACAGTATTCCCAAGCTTGTTAATGTTCAGTTGTGTGGACTTCAACTCAGAAATCTCAGCAGTGGCCAAACTACTGAGGAATTCTGGAAGTTAAATTCCATACAATCATAAGTTGTTAAATTTGGTAAATGCTGCAACAGGGCCATCTAGTGATAATTTATGAATATTTAGTCAACCTTTTTCTTTATTCACGGCATAGTAAATCCATAGCATGAAGAAAAATTTGAATTAAGTTTTGTAGAATGCATGATAAATAGATTTGTTAATCATGAATTTGCATTGGTATAAGGTGATCAAAACCACACATGTCTAGCAATCTGTAAGATTGATCATGACTAATTTGCCTATTACCAAACAGGCAAATATTTAACAAATTACTTTTTAAGTTCAGAAAAAGAGAGCACGTTGGTGGGTGAGACACAGTTAATCATCACTTCAGGAGTTCTGGGGGGCTTTTATGTACTTACCTTAAGATGAATTCTATGTCTTTATAGGGTTTTAGTTACTTTTTTATATCTCAAGAAGCTCTTAAAACAAATCCCTCCAAATCATCTAAATCCTTAATCCATTCACAGATCATGCTAGCTAATGGCTTGGCTTTTGTTCCTCCAAATAAAAGATGCCTGAAGCACCTAAGCAAGCCCACACCTTCTTCATCTTTGAGTCATATTCAAACTCATACTATGAGTTCACCCCAGACAAGCACTGACAGTGAAGGAAGATGCTTGAAAGATGCACATGAAATGGTAAAACCCTGGAGGCAAACCCAGCTCAGTTGCTGGGGTCATTGTGAGCTCTTAACTACATCCCTACCATATTATTGTTGATTGTCTTTTTAAGCCTCTTCTTCATGAGCCTTTCTTTGCTTCGATTGGCTTTAAGGACGCTATTGAACAGTGGCTAAAGCAGCTTGCCTCAACTTGGTCTCTAACAATATTTATATAACAATATGTATAACTTCCAGCCATGTTCTAGAGACAGCAGCAAGTTGAGGTGGAAGTAATAACATTTCTTGATGTACACACAAGATCTTAGTCAAAAGGCCAAGGAGGCCTTTCTTGGTTAG